GTGAGTGCACAGCTGGCGCGCGGCAGGGCTCCTGGATGTGTCACCTTGTCGCGCTGCAGCCGAGATGCCCGGGGAGAGGGGCCCTCCACACCCCCTCCGTGGGTGTGTGGTGAGTGTGGATGTGTGTGCGTCTCCTGTGGTGCCCGCGGTGTGTCAGCGTGGGTCGGGATGCCGGCGCGCTGGGGGGGTGTGGCCGCCTTTGTCGGCCTCAGTGGGTGTGTCCCCTTTGTCCGGTGTCCCCCTTCTGCAAGCGTGGGCCCCTCGGGGTGTCTGTGCGACGGTGGGGGGATAGCCCCTTTGTGTGCGGCTTCCCTAGCCGCTCGCACATTCTGGTCTTGTGGCTGACACCCCTGCTAGGCGAGGGGTCTCCCGGCCCGAGCGCACGGGCACGCGCCCGTGTGTCGTCTCCTGGCTTCTTTGTATCCGTGCGGGTTCTTCCTGGAGACAGTATGGGCGTCCCCGGCCCACGTGGGTGGCCCCCACGTCTTGTCACTACCCCTCTCCGAGGTGTGCGCGTCCCCAGCGCGCGTGGCCGCGCCTCCTGCAGTCGTGACCTTCGCCTGGAGCGTCGCCCGCCCGGGTGGGCGTTCTCGGGTGTCTCCGCGCGCGTGCGCCCGGTCTGGGTCCTGTCGAGGACGTAATCTGCTGTGTGCGGGTTTTCGTTCGCGAACGTCGTCTCGTGTTTTGTGTCCTATGTGTGCGCCACCTGTTTTCGTGGGAATGGCAGCCGCGTCCAGAGGCGGCGCCTCGGATCCCTGAGGAGGAAAACGGGAGGCGAAATTCCCCCAGCGCTCGCCCCTCCCCCGCGCCTCTTCGGAGCATCCTCGCTCTCCTGAGGCTAATGGGGACGGGGGACCGCAGCGCGTCTGGCCAGCTGCTGCGTAGTGTTCACTACGTCAGGCGTGGCCTTTCGAGCCAGATTGTTCATAAGGGGTGGGGGGCAAGGACCAAAAATCGAGCCGAGACGTAGATGAATTTGGGGTGGTACCAGTGTGGCGCCCTAGAGGCACCCTAGACACCCAGAGACTCCTTCCAAAATATATGCACTTGCCAACTGCGCAGTAGGTTCTAGCCGACCCTGGCGTTCCTGGTCATACTTAACGGTTCATGTAGTGTTTTATGGAGTTCACCAAAATTATCTTTTGATTTGCCCAGCATCCTGACAAGGGAAAGTAGACTTTTTTCCAGATTTTACTCCTCTCCTGGGAGCAGTTTCCTCATAGTTG